AGGGAGGGGCGAGGGGAGGGAGGGAAGAGTGTGGGGGTATGAGGGGGAGGGAGAGGGATGGGGAGGGAAAAGGAGGTGGACGAGGGGCATGGAGGGAGAGAGTTGAGTGGGAGGCGGAAGTTGACGCTACAATCACGTGACCAGGTTCCAAAAATACGTTTTCCTCTCTGCGTGAGTTTTCGTCCTTATTTGAAGCTAATTTGTTGATTTTCTTGTGAACAATGACTTTAAGTGCTGTTAATATTGTTACAGTTGTCGTTATTTTCGTCAACAAGTTCTTCCAATATATAGTGTCATTGGTGAGCTGTGACGTATGTTAGATGCGTATGTAAACTGTACGTGAGAAGCGGGAAGTGCTGTGAACAATCCCATTTTCCTCGTGACGGAGATTTGGAGTATTTTTAATTTATGACGAGCTGTTTTTTAATCGAACCTAAAATTTTGTTCGGTTAATACAAATTGAGACAAACTGTATGTATGGCATTGATTCACTCGTCAAAGAGATATATTATAGTGTTGCGCCTTGAATTTTTGACCGCACTGTAATCGGACGAACTGAACTATTACTATTATTTAAAAGTAGTACAATTCGGGTGAATGATGTTAGAAAGTTTAGGTGAAGCAAGGTGGTGAAATCATCCGCTCGTCAAAATATTGACATCCGAGAACTGCAATTTTCAGCCAGTTTGATTTATTTTTCGAAATTTTGTTTTTTGATTTAACTCCTTGTACGTCCATTCAAAAAACACTTTTACGTTTGGATTTTACAGAAAAACGTTGAATATGGGCACAGAACAATTTAATTTTGCAGATTCCTAGTACTCTTAAGCTATGGAAGTCACCAAACTTTAATGACCATATTTTCCCTAATTTTACTTCTGAAACCAGGCGACCCCACCTCCTTCATAATTGCAAATATCTCGACTTCTATTCATGATAAATGGATTTTGTTTTCATGGATAGCAAGATAAATGAACAACCTTTAAGACGATACCATATGCCCTAAACTAGACGAGCGCCTGATTCCCCTGCGTCATGACACGAATTATTAGGTTTGAGAAACGCAACAAAAGTGTGTGGACGTCCTGTTTGGTTGTTCCTTGTTCTGGAATTTCCGCTGAATTTCGAGATTCAGAAACACAACCCCCAAGGTCAAGGCCATGTGAAAGTCTAAAAGTAGAGGACGTGATTGGTCACTAGCGGTCAGTTTTGTTTGGGGTTTTTTTGTGTGCTTTTTGGGGTTTTTTTTTAACTTGTCAGAACCAGAGCCGAGCTGTGAAAACTCTCAGTAGTTCGAAAAACACACGTTTTTCTGACGTCTTTCACTGCCTAGTCTGGCTTTTCCTCTTTTATAATCCCAACAGGCTGGGATGTATTTTACATTTTTCCACCGAGATGTGATCACACCCAAGTGGTGCCAAACGTAAAACCTTACAGTACTATAATCCTGTTTGATTGAACACCGTTCATACCATCCACCGAGAGCTAAGATAGTGAGAGACGATGCTTCTTTTGATATCGGAGCCCATAAATACATCTCATAGTCTGTCCCAGGTGTTGCTGATAACGATTACTGGTTAGAAACTGCGTGTTGTAAAGGTGAGACTCGTTGCTTAAGGTAGCAAAAGCACAGGTAGGCGAAGGGGAATCATTCCAGAGTTGTGAGATTTTATATCAATGCACCTGTGGAACCTACCGTTTGAAAGTGCAAGATGAGCATAAAGAATTATGTCATACATAAACCTAGCATCCTTATGATTATGATGGTAGGCACTGGAGGTGGGGGTGGGGTGGGGGGTGGAGAAGAAGAGATAGAAATTATGACTTTGTTGGTGATTTAATTTGAAGAAAAATGTTACCTAAGTGTTCTTTACAGCATCTTGAATTAGAACTACAAAGAAATAACATTACCCTTATACAGTCTCAAATACACGCTCTCTCTCACACACACCCACACACACACACACACACATATGTACATGCACATGTACACACACATACTCACACACACATACACACGCACATAACCACACATAAACACACACACACATACATTCAAACATATACACATACACACATACACTTATACACATAAAGATTTTGCACTTACCCCTATGCACTTTCACACAAACACAGACAGGAGAGAGAGAGAGAGAGAGAGAGAGAGAGAGAGAGAGAGAGAGAGACAGAGAGAGAGAGAGAAAGAGAGAGAGAGAGTCTGA